TTGGAACTCAGGTACTACGGGAAACAAGATTCTGTTTGTCTCCGGCGATGCCTTCCACATGTCTTTGGGGAGACGTCCATGCCGTCCTTGAAGATCATCTATTCTGACGATGGAGCCAAAACGTTCTTTGACTCGCACCCAGCATCAAAGGCAATTGGACGATGCATTGCCAACATTGAGGATCGCCAGAAGCTTGCTGATGCCACTACACAACTTGAGAAGGACGAGACGGATTCCTCCTCCTCTGACTCCGACCAATCTTCAAATGAGGATCAGGATCAGGATCAGGAGACGGAGAAGGCAGCGAAGGCCAAAGCAACAGCAGCGGCAGCGGCAGTGACAGCAGCAGCGGAGGTTTTTGACAAAGACAGGGCCCAGGACAAATGGTTGTGTTACCGTACCTGTTATTGTTATTGTTAACTGTTTCTCATGGTTTTGTCACAACCTATTACAGCAGTGACTCTGACGTAAGTCTGTGACTTGCCAGACTCCCAGACTGTGTCGGAGCAGGACCGTGACCAAGCTCTGCTTTCGTCATCAGCATCTGCAGCAGCAGATTCAACCATGGAGGCTGAAGCGGCTGCACTGTCAGAATCATTAAATCACTCTGCCAAGGTAAGGAGAGTAAAGACGGTTGAATTGTTAATTGTTAATGGATGAGTTATGAGTTTTGGTTAAAATGTTGGTTAGTTATTTAGTTGTACTTCGGACTTCGAACTTCGATTCCAACTTCAATAGCGGTGATGACCTGTTTGACCGGTGAACTGAGCTTATTGATTATTGGTGACTGGTGACATTGTTATTATTGAGTCATTGAGTTTTCAATTTTCAATTTCAACCACGTGACATCACGTGACGCCGCTGCCACGACCGATACTTTTGGCAGGCCACTGCCACTGATGCCAAGGAACATGCGGCTGCTCAACCGGAAGACCGAGAGGTCCGACTGCCAGGGGGGACCGGTGGGAGGGATCGTCAGTCGTGTCAGATATTGGAGTCGGAGTGAACTCTAGGTTCAACTAGGGCATGCCTAGCTGCGAGCTTTGATTTGATACTGTAAAAATCAGCTCATGGGCTTAACATGTTGCAGCCTACTAAAGCTTTCCAGACTAGTGTGACTAGTGATTATGACTAAGGCTGCCAGTGCGACGAGTGACAAGGGAGGTAGTTGTCAATGCTTACTGCTTTGTTTCATTCACTGATTAGTTACTACTACTGGTTACTGGTTCAGCTGCTATTCATCAGAATGATAATTGACAGTGACAGGATTCAGCACTTGATTCAGTTTCAATTCAAATCCTCGGCTGCCAGCTGCCAGCCGCCAGCCACTTTGCAGGCCAGCAAATTGAACAATACTACTCCACTGGCTACGGCTACGATAGAGGTTCCAAACCCGACGATTGAGGATGAGACTCCTGCGACAGTTCAGATGGGTCAGGACTTGAAGTTGGAGTTGGAGTTGGACAATTGGACACATAGGATCCCGGCGATGGTAATGATAATGGTGTCGCAGCATTACTGTCACAGTCACAGTAGACCCGCTCAGAGACTTACGGAGTCTTGCCGTTGGCACTTGGCAGACTTGGCAGGATAAAGCTGCTGAAGCTCTGGCTCTGACTGTGACAGCGGAGGAGCCAAAGACAGCTGAGACTCGTGATCACTTTTTTTGTTAATGTTAAAGCCGTCTCAGAGACTTGAATCCAAGTCTTGGCAGGGCAACAACGGCTCTGATGCTCCAGAAGTTCCCGCGGCTCTTGCTCCTGATATGGTGGCGGATGAGGCTGAGGAGCAAAAAGATGCAGTTGAGACTGCTGAGGTGCATGCCGAGGCCATCTCAGAACAATTGTTTTTTTT